TTCCTTGGTGGACTCTTGCTTGTCGGGCTTCTGTCGCAACGTTGCTGGTCTTTTGGCGGGCCTTATTCCTACGTCGACAGTGTCGCGCCCCTTAGATGCAGCGTTGAAACACCTCAGAGTAGCGGCTAGGTCTCCTTGGATAGTAGCTACCCGTGCCCTTTTGGTGTAGAATTTCATCTTCAGGTGGACGGTCGAGGGCACCGCTGTCAGTTCTGCCAGTGTTGGTCTCCCCAGGATGCAGTTATACAGAGACGGGCAGTCGATGACGAGGAAACGTACTTTGACCTGTCTGGTCGCCGTTCCTTCGCCGAATGTAACCAGGAGCTCGACATACCCCCAAGGCTTGGAGGTCGAGCTATTGAAGCCTTGTAAGTCTGACCCTACATATGGCGAGAGATGTGAGTCGTCCAGCTGTAGAGTTCGGAATAGTTGGTTGTACATTACGTCGACGGAACTTCCTTCGTCGCCGAGGATGCGATGCACATCAAAGTTGGCCATTCTTGCCCTTATCAGTAAGGGGATGACTGCGTTGGGGGCTCCGCCGGGGAGCTCTTCCAGGTAGAAGGTGATGGGTTCTGACCTGCCCTTCACCCTTTCAAACGTCACTGTTTGCGGGGGCGCTGCGTCGACCATCTCATCCAGCTTCCTCTTAGCCAAATTAATGGTCAAGTCGTTGAATCCACCGCCGTTGATGACCATGGCGGAGGGGAAATATTCCCACCTGCTGTGCGTTGTGAGCGGCTCCTGCAGGTGTTCGGGGACATCGAAGTCCTCGGGTCTGGTCACGGAGAAGGCGGTCTGGATGGGGACCGACTCGTCAGATGGTCGGGCATCTTCCTCTGGCTCCCTTGTCTCCTGGGCGTCACGACGGGGAGCGTCGCTTCGCCGGTATTGTGCGAGCCTCCCTCCCTTGATGAGGGTTTTGATGGCGTCCTTGAGGTGGACGCAATCCTCCGTCAGATGACCATGGCTCCTATGGTACTGACAATATTTGTTCTTGTCTGCTCCGGGCTTGGTGGGAGCAGGTCGGGGACGTTTGACACCGCCGTCCTTAAAGTCAGTGCTGGCACACTCCGCCAGAATGCGCTCGCGGGAAGCTGTGAGCGGAGTGTACTCGGTAAAACGCCCCGAGGGTCCCCTTTGTTCTCGGACTTCCCGGGGTCTGTCTTCTTTTCTTTTCTTCCCGGTTCGTCGAGGAGGAGGAGCTTCCTGGCGCGAGCTGCTGTTGGACCCGCGAGTCCTGGAGTCTCGGGCTCTGTTAGCCACTTCTCTCTCCTCGTAGTCCATGTATGCCCGGGCTTTTTCGAGGAGGGCGTCGAATGTCCTGGGCGGCTCGATGCCCACGACTTTTCTGAATTCTGTGTCGGGGAGGAGCCCCCTCTCCAGCAGATACCTCTTCATATGGTCCGCGCAGGGGACCTGTATAGCTTCCCGGTTAAAGCGATTGATGAACTCCCTCAAGGTTTTATCCTGTCTCTGGATGATGGCCTCGAGAGCCACCTCGGTCTTTGGATGCCACCGAGATGCTGTGAATGAACTGATGAACTGGTTTTTCAGGTTCCGCCACGAGGTGATTGAGCCCGGGGCGAGTCCTTTATACCAGTCCATTGCCGCCTTCCCGAGGGTCGTGGGGAATAGTCGGCATTTGATGGCCCCCCCGACATTATGGTAATGCAGCATAGCCTCGAACCCGTCTATGTGGTCGACTGGGTCCGCGACTCCATCGTACTCCTTCAGGTGCGGGGGTTTCTCCATGCCCGGGGGGATGGGTTCTTCCATGATAGCTTGCGACAGGGGACCGCGGGGGTCGTCCTCGTCGCTCCTCTTCGGAGACAGAGATGGGGACCTGTAATACTGTCGGGCACGACGGTCATGGTCGTGCTGGGCCTCTCTCGAGCGTGTTGCCCGTTGGTTGATTCTCACCCGCCCGTCTCCGGAGTGTCTTCTTTCCTGTCTTACCGGGTCGCGGCCATGTCCTCCGGCTTCGACGATGGGTGGCCTCTCCAAAGGGGGCCGTTTCCCCGATGGGCGGGGTGACGGGCTTCGAGAGGTATTTCTGTAATGTCTCCGCGGGGGAGACGGGAGATGGACTTCAGTCGCTCGAGGAGGTGGAGTCTGGGGCCTTCGATGCCTCCTCGGGGGTCTCCGATCGTCTTCAAGTGCCCTCAATCTTTCCCCTTGGGCGAAGATGAGGTAATTTGTCTGATTGATCGCTGCGAACAGCGCTCGAGTTGTGGCGTCCGCCCCGGCGGGGACGGGGACTTCTTGAAACTGGGCAGCCCGGTAGTACGCGAGAGCGGCATCGTCATCCTCGAGTGGCGGAGGGATCGAGGAAGATGACGCGATAGCTCCATCGCGGTGAGATGAAGGTCCGGGTGCAGTTGACGCAGGGATGGTATTGTGGCCGGGGTCTCCGGCGTTGTCAAAGTGTCCATTTTTGTCCGCGGGGCCGTTGTTGGTGTCGACGACGCGGACGTGTTGTTCATCGCGAGCTTGGTTAGCCATGACAGTGGTAGTTGAGTCGAGCTTTGGTCTTTGAGTTTTGCAAGACGGGGAAGCTAGTTTCCCACATACGACGCCACTGATCTTACCGGATCAGACTTGGACCGTCACGACTGGCTCCGAGCTGAAGTTTTGGACGAGATGGGGGGGGGGGGGGTACCTGCAAGGCACTCCGATGCTGAAGTAAGTGAGAGTATGAGCAGACGAAAGTGTGAGTATGGTTAATAGAATGAATACCTGACCCTCTAGGAACAGAGGGTATTTATAGCCCCCAGCGCTGGGCCAAGGTCCCTTCATTGGGCCGGGCAGGTTTGGCCCAATGAAGGAACTGCCAGGTTCTACGTGTGTAGTGGAGACCCGTACGTGGTCTCCTTCCTGGATGTTCTGCGTGAAGTGCGGACGGACGAGGACGCGGTCTTTTCGAGATCCAGGTGATGGTGTAATGGACCGAGTCTTCCCTAGGAGGTGCTCGAGCTGGATAGCATGAAGTCGAGGATGTCGCTCTAGTGGAGAGTGTCGGGCACGGCTGTGGTCTCTTGGTCGGCGTGACCCCTTGCAAGTCCGTTTGAATTGGGTCTTCCTCATTGCTTTTGGGCCAGCCCGGCCCAGTCCAGAACACAAATCTTGAACAAAATCAAAAAAATCATAATTGAAGCACAAAAGGATTGGTGTTTGGAAAAATGAAAAGTTGAATGAAAAATAAAATTTGAGAAAATTGGATTTTCTCATAACAACATAGTGCAAAAGGTTGTTTAAAGGTGGATATCATACAATTGATATTTATGGATGAATCGAACAATTGATAATTAAATCAAAGAATAAAGACAAATATAATAAATCTCATGTCAAATACGAATTTATATTTCAAACATCTAAAATTTCAATTTAAAATATGAGATTTATTATTTTAAGCTATTTAATTATTAAATTTATACTCTATTCTTAAAAAATCAATTGATTTATAAAAAAAATTATGACTTTATTTTGTCTATACAAATACATTCGACGACACTAAATTAATTTATGAATTTATTATCTAAACTCTATTTTTTTATTATGTTAAAAAAATATTATATTCATAAGATTTAAGGAATTACATTGTTGTTAATGTTTTTAATGAAATATAAACTCACAAATATATTTGTACTTTTTTAAATTAATATTTATAAATATTAATTTAATAAAATTTATCTGTTCATCACATGGGTGAATGTCTAGTATAGTAAAATATTTATTACTTAGAGTTTATTATTAGTTTGTTAATATCTATAAATAGATGTAGAATAGTCAAATGTATTAATATTTCTCATTAGTAATATTTCTACTTTGAGCAATTCATAAATTCGATTATTATTTTTCTTTTATTTATAATATAGTATTAGAATCTAGTTCTAAATCTCTTTATTTAGAAAAAGGGTCCGATTAAATCAAGATTCAACACAAATAAATAAAAAATTGAACTCAATACAAAATAAAATAAAAACAATTTGAAATAAATTAGTTACAAATCTTGAACAAGATCAGAAAATAAAAGATTGGTGTTTGGGAAAATGAAAAGTTAGATAAAAAATGAAATTTGAGTAAATTGGATTTTCTCATAACAACATAACAGAAAAGGTAATTTAAAGTGGATATCATATATGCTCTGATACTATATTAAGAAATATGACATCGATAGAAATAAAAGAAGATAAAGACTCAATTTATGTATTGAACAGATTATAAATATTCAAAATGAGAGACATAAATACATTTGCCTACTCTAAATCTATTTATAGGTACTAAAAACTAATTACAAACTCTAGGGTTTGTTAGGGAGTTTGAGGAGAATGACATAGCAGACTTAAAAGAAAATGGAAACATTGACTAAAAAAAATTGAATGATTTTGTTTGGGAGGATTTTAAAGAGTTTGATTTTATTCATAACATCAAAAATCTCTTTAATTTGGAAAACTTAAAATTTATATTGAATGAAAATTTTGAAAGATTTACATAATTTTTTAAAATATGTTTTATGTTGGTAGTGTTTTAAAATTAAAAATATAATAATGATTAATACTATTTTATCATTATATACAAAACTATTCGTTTAAACAATGTCAAATATTTTTTTCTATATTTTCTTAAAATTCATTTTTAAAAGCATTTCACTCCCCTCCCTTTCAAACTCCCAAACGTTTCCTAATTAATAACTATATTTAATATATCTCTAATAACCACAACAATATTATTGATAGTTAAGTTCTTACATGTTGGTTTAAGAAAACAAGAATAAAGTTTGGTAAACAAGTGAAAGTTCCACTAGCAATCTTTAACCTCACAAATATATAATAATTATTCAAAAAGCTTAAATACATAAATACATCATACATACTTATTGATCATTAAACATGAAACATCAACGACTTATTTAAATATACTCCATCATAGATTAAAGTTGCACTCTTTTACATTTATGCATTATATTTAGTGAGACTTGGTATTGGTTCAAGATCCTCTTAGATTTCAGCATCAATTTCATTGTTTCCATAAGCTGAAATATTTGGTTTTGGTTCACAATCTTCCATGATCTTCTCCTTTTTATTGTTTATTTCATTGTTCTCATAAGAAGAAATATTTGGTCCTGGTTTAAAATCTTCTACTCCTTTCTTCTTTTCTCCCGCATCAATTTCATTGTCTCCATATGCTGAAACATTAGGCCTAGGTTCAAATTCTTCTACTTCTTTCTTCTTTTCTCCCACATCAATTTCATTGTCTCCATATGCTGAAACATTAGGCCTAGGTTCAAATTCTTCTACTTCTTTCTTCTTTTCTCCCACATCAATTTCATTGTCTCCATATGCTGAAACATTAGGCCTAGGTTCAAATTCTTCTACTTCTTTCTTCTTTTCTCCCACATCAATTTCATTGTCTCCATATGCTGAAACATTAGGCCTAGGTTCAAATTCTTCTACTTCTTTCTTCTTTTCTCCCACATCAATTTCATTGTCTCCATATGCTGAAACATTAGGCCTAGGTTCAAATTCTTCTACTCCTTTCTTCTTTTTCCCAACATCAGCGTCTTTGTTTGCATATGCTGAAATATTGGGTCTAGGTTCGAAATCTTCTACTCCTTTCTTATTTTCTTCAGAATCAATGTATTTGTTTTCATATGCTGAAATATTAGGTCTTGGTTGGAAATCTTCCACTCCTTTCTTATTTTCTTTATCATCAATGTCTTTGTTTTTATATGCTGAAATATTAGGTCTTGGTTTGAAATCTTCCACTCCTTTCTTATTTTCTTTATCATCAATGTCTTTGTTTTCATATGCTGAAATATTAGGTCTTGGTTTGAAATCTTCCACTCCTTTCTTATTTTCTTTATCATCAATGTCTTTATTTTCATATGCTGAAATATTAGGTCTTGGTTTGAAATCTTCCACTCCTTTTTTATTTTCTTTATCATCAATGTCTTTGTCTTCATATGCTGAAATATTAGGTCTTGGTTCGAAATCTTCCACTCCTTTCTTATTTTCTTTATCATCAATGTCTTTGTTTTCATATGCAGAAATATTAGGTCTTGGTTCGAAATCTTTAACAGTGTTCTTCGTTTCCTTATCATCAAATGACTGCTTCAAAGTCTTGAAATTATTTTTAGTGTTTGTGTTAAGGAGTCCTTGAATTTCTTCAGGCATGTCATGATCTTTCATTATTAGCTTCCAATATTCTCCTAGATCTTTTCTTGATTCTGCAACTGCTACGATCTTTATTGTAAAACAAAGAAACCACATAAGACAGAAAATATTAAGGGTGTATTTGTTTTAAGGATTGAAATTTTCAATTCTTAGAATGTTATTCTCGAGAACATTATTATCTGGAATATTTTTTTCTATTTTGATGTTTGATAAATAATTTAAATTTTCAGGAATTTTTATAAAATATATTTAATTTAAAAATTTAAAATAAAAAATAAAGGATTTAAATGAATAATTTTTATAAAATATATTTAATTTAAATTAAAAATAAATGATTTAATCAAATAGAAATGAAAAGTTATTGGTGATTATATCTTATTCTCATGGGAATATAAAATTCTCATCCTTTTATAGAAAAAAAATCAAATATAAATTAAATTCTCAAAAATAAAAAATTTCAAGGCATAATTTATAAATATTTTAAATAAATATGGGAATGCAAAAAATTAAAGCTACATTCTTGAAAATGAATTTGGAATCCATGAAACAAACGTCTCATAATATAATATACAAAAAAATTAATATAATTATTTTAAATTTTATTAATTTTAAAAAATAATAAATTTATAAATATCAAAAACATATTTACATTAACATAATTTTTTAAATAAATATTATTGTCATGGACTAAATCTAAACCAATAACTTTCAATCATTTAATTCAAGTAACACATACAATTTTTTTATAAATTCTTTAATTATTTATTATCTCTTACAATATTTTTTTTTTTAAAAGTGTGTAACATTGATAATGCTACAAACAAATAAGAATTAATATTTTGTCAAATGCAAAAAATAGAAAACAACAAAGAGAAGATTAATTAAACAAATATTTTAAGTAGAAATTTCTGACTTATAATTAGGGTAATTAAAATCAGACTGAACATCAATCTGTTATATCTATGAATTCAAAGTTTTAAAGTTTGATCGGAGTTAAATTCAAGTTGAACCGATTATATATAAATAAATATTTTTTGTTTATATATTAAAATAATAATATACAAAAATAATTATATTTTTTAATTGATAAAAAAACTTATTGATAATATTTTAATAATTAAGACTTTTAATAGTTTTTTTAATTTCTTAGTCTTTTATATTTTTAATAGGTTAGATAAGTAAGTTCAAAATTTTTTATTTTTATATAATAATAATAATAATAATAATAATAATAATAATAATAATAATAATAATAATAATAATAATAATAATAATAATAATAATAATAATAATAATAATATTAATAATATTAATATTAATAATAACAATAATAATAATAGTAATAATAATAATTTAATATCTTTATCAATTATTTGTTTATGATATTATCTGATTATTTTCTTTTCTCATATATTATGTGTTGAATTGTGTTATCATATTTATTTATTATATATTGTTATACAAGATTTACTTTTATTTATCAAATGAATAGAAAATAACGGAAGAATTTAAAATAGTTTTTACTTTAATTTTTCTACAATAATGTATACTAGGCTGATTGGAGAAGGAAAAGGAAAATTAAATTAAATATTATTTTGATTCAAAACATTTTTTTAATCTTATTTTTATAAATCGAAAGCAAAATTTGATCCAACCCTAGAAATCGCATAAACCATCACTTTTCTGATTTTAAATCAATTTTTAATCAATTTTCTAATTTATTTCCGATTCTTCTTCATGTCAATTTTCAGATCTAAACAAACCAGTTAAGATTATGACTCTCGATCTAATATATTGAATCAATCGGTTCGATTTAATTTTAATTACTATACATATAATATAATTATAACGAGTATGATAAATGATGTATAACATTAAAAAGTCATATAAGAAACAGAAGATTAAAAAAAAAAATTGAGGTGGGTAAGAAACGTCAAGAAAACGTGAACAAGCAATTAATTATTCAATTAAGTGTAATATAAGAGAGGATACTACTAAAGACTAAAGAGAGGATACTACTAATGACTAAAGATTATGGTGAGGGAAATATCTAAAACTAATAGTATTTGCTAATGTATATATAAACTTGTTGATATAGAGTATTAATTGTTCAGGATAGTTTTTATATTTATATTTACGAATTAATACGAATAAGAAAATATTTATTAATAAGAAAATGTGAAAACAAAAAATACAAGAATAAATCTTAACTATTCATTATTATTATCATCTCATGATTCTTATTAAAAAAAAATTAAATTTAAAATTCACTTAAAATATTGACATGTATGCATTCTTGTATTTCTTCTGCAAATTATTTCTTACTAAATAGTAATATTCAAATATATATATATATATATATATATATATATATATATATATATATATATATATATATATATATTATCAATTTTAGAAAAAAAAATTATAGGACATGATTATGTATATGTAAGAAAAGTGAAACATACCAAGAAAAGAAAGAGAGGCAGTAAAGCAAGAGTAGGTCTCATCTTTTAAGAATCAAACTAAATTGTATATGATTATAGTTTGGATGAATGATTCTTATAACCACTTCATCACTTATTTATAGCTAAATGAGAGATAACACGTGATCAATTACCTGCTTCTGTTATGCATAATTGAATATTCAGAAAATTTTTGAAGCTACTTTTTTGTGTAATGATAAAAACAGATACCTTGTATCATCATTATCATTCTAAATAGAATATGGTACCATAATTTTTCATTTAATAAAAAAAAACAAGAAATAGACTAATGGGCCAAAAGTTATTGTTTATTTTTAATATAAAATATATAATTACTTTTGACAAATAAATTTATAAGTTGGATTAAATGTTGAAGGTACATTCAGAGCGGTGATTAGAATTATAGAGATTAATAATGATATGGATTTGTGATGAAAATCGATTTTAATTTGATTGTCAAAATTTTTTCTAACTACAAATTAGTTCATTTATAATTTTTTAAAATAGATGATAATTTTGCCTTCTTCAAGATAATTTTTTTTACATTATCATCACTCACATTTATAGAATAGGTAATTTTTTACCGAACTTTTAACAAATTTCGCTTTTGACATAAACTCTACTATTATATTTGACTACATCTCTTGATATTAGAAATAATTTTGTAAAAAATAAATTATATATATATATATATATATATATATATATATATATATATATATATATATATATATATATATATATATATATATATATATATATATATATATATATATATATATATATTATTAACATATAATATATTTGAAGAAGTGTAAAAATGGTTAGTTATTTATTTGAAGTTGTTTAAGTCGGTTATATTGTTGATCTTAGAATTAATTTATATTTTAGGAATATTTTTTTTAGATATTAATATATTAATTTATATTTTAGGAATATTTTTTTAGATTTTTTTATATCTTTGTTAGAGGATATTTAAGATTTTATTATACTTTAATTTTGTGTATAAATAGCCTATTGAGGTATGTCAATATAATTCATTGTAAATCATTATTTCTTATTTTTGTAGTCGTCATTAAATATATTTCTTTTGTCTTTCATCTCTTTTTTGTGCACCAATAATTGATATCTAGAGCTATGGTTCAAAACCCACGGGGAAAATATTGTGTGATTGAGAATTACAATATTCTGAATCTGTGTAATTTGGAAAACATTGCTTTTCTGTGTAAATTGCACAAGGTAGAAGATGAACGGAAACGACGGCGATATCCATTCCAAGCTTCCAGTATTTGATGGCAAAAACTGGAATCGTTGGAAGATCCAGATGCGCGTGTTGTTTGGTTTTCATGATGTGTTAGATCTTGTCACCGATGGCTATGATCTGTTAGAAGCAGACGCAACAGAGGCACATAAGATAACACATAAGGCGCTAAGGAAGAAAGATCAGAAGGCGTTGTTCTACATCCATCAATGTGTGGATGCGAATGTGTTTGAGAAGATTGTTGATTTTGAAACAACAAAGGCTGCGTGAGACACACTGGTCAGACGTTACGGTGGTGACACATCAGTGAAGAAGGTGAAGCTTCAGTCTCTCAGAAAGCAATATGAGAATCTCAACATGAAGGGCAGCAAGAAGGTTTCTGAGTACATCTCTAGAGTAATTATGATCATTAACGAGATGCAAGCTTGTGGAGAAACTCTTTCTGAACAAGTAATCATTGAGAAGATCTTGAGATCTTTAACTTCTTAGTTTGATTACATTGTGGTAGCAATTGAACATTCAAAAGATCTGAGCATCATGAGAGTTGAAGAGCTACAAAATAGTCTAGAGGCGCATGAGTTGCGTATGACTGCGAGAACTTCTAAGAGGGAGGTGGAGCAGTAGGCTCTGAGAGTAACTTCTGGTAAGAAGTATCAGAAGTAGAGTTGGTTAGAAGCCAAGAAAAAAACTAATGGTGGTCAAAGGTCATAAGCTTCAAACTCTGATAGGCAGAAGAATATTCAGTGTTACTGTTGTAAGAACTTTGGTCATTATGCCAAAGATTACTGGTCAAACAAAGAAAGGAAGTCAGAAGAAGCAAATATAGCCAGAGGAGATTCATGGGATGAATCTGTGCTATATATGGCTTATGAATCTGATGAGGAACCGGTGAAATTGTCATTTTCTGATTATGAAGGGGAAGAAGATGACTTTGAATATTCTGACTCTAAAGAAGTGTTTGAATATGAGCCCGAATCAGAAGATGACGCTGAAGATTTTGAAGAAAAGTCAGAATCCAAAGAAGATTCTGATTCTGAAGAAGAGTCAGAAGATGATGACTTTAACTCTGAAGGTGAGTCAGATGAGGAATCTGATTTTGATCCAAATTTTGATGATGATCCAGAATCTGGTGGTGATCATGCTTCTAGAAGGGAAAACTTTAAAGAAGTAGGTTCTGGAGGACAATCTTCTAAAGATGATCAGGTTTCTGGTGGAAATCATGACTCTAAGGATGGACCTTTTGAAGGAGGAGCTTCTGAAGGAAACTTAGTCTTTGACGATGATCATGATTCTGAAAGTGGAACTTCTGAAGGTAGAGGTGATCCAATTTTTGAAGATGGTATTTCTGAAGGTAGTGGTTTTGAACGAGGTCCAGAAGCTAACAAAGGTGGAGCTTATGGCGGTAGTCAAACTTCTGAAGAAAGTCCAGAAGGAGATATTGTTCCAGAATCAGAAGGAGATTCAGAACAAATTCAGAGGCCACATAGAGTAAGAAATATACCAAGATTTGCAGAGTTCGACATGTTGTAAGACACAAAAGTAGACTCTGAAGGAGAAGTTATTCAGTGTGCAATGTTAGTAGACTCTGAACCCGTGAGTACGAAAGAGGATCTTAAGCAACAAGTCTAGTTGCATGCCATGAAAGAAGAACTTGATGCTATAGAGAGAAACAAGACTTGGAAGCTAGCAGAACTTCCAAAAGGCAAGAAAACCATCAGCGTTAGGTGGGTTTTCAAGTATATGCTAAAGCCATATGGATCAATTGGCAAACACAAATCAAGATTAGTATCAAGAGGCTTTCTACATAAGTCTGGGATGGATTACTCTGAAGTGTTTGCACCTGTAGCGAGACATGAAACAATCAAACTAGTGATTGCAATAGCTGCTAACAGGAATTGTCCTCTGATGCACTTAGATGTAAAATCTGCATTTTTGAATGGTCCATTACAAGAAGAGGTATATGTATCACAACCTCCCGGATTCGAGAAAAAGAATCAGGAAGGGATGGTGTTCAAATTACACAAAGCCTTGTATGGATTGAAGCAAGCGCCCAGAGCTTGGAATTTGAAGATTGATTCATTTTTCAAGGGACAAGGGTTTCAGAAGTGTGAGATGGAGTATTGTGTTTATGTTCAGCACACTTCAGAAGGTAGTATGATTCTGGCATGTTTGTATGTTGATGACATATTGCTCACAGGAAGTCCTGAACAAGAGATAATTGAGTTCAAGAAGGTTCTGATGAATGAGTTTGAGATGACATATCTTGAAAAAATGAGTTTCTTTCTAGGAATATAATTTATGTACTCTGAGAAAGGAATCATTTTTCATCAGATGAAGTATGAACTTGAGCTTCTGAAGAGATTTAAGCTAGAGAATTGCAAAGTTGCTATCACACCTGCTGATACAAATCAGAAGTTGGACTTTGATTCTGATGGAGAGGATATGGATGCTACAACCTTCAAACAGATGGTTGGTTCTCTGAGGTATTTATGTAATACCAAACCTGATATTTGCTACGCATTTGTAATGGTTAGATGATTTATGAGTAAACCAAAGTGGTCTCATTATCAAGCTGCTGTCAGGATTCTGAGGTATGTGAAGGGAACTCTGAAGTATGGAGTGTTATTTCCGTCTGGAAGAAAGATCGAATCAAAAATTTTGAGTTATTCAGATTCTGATTGGTGTGGAGATAGAGTTGACAGAAGTAGTACTTTTAGGCACTTATTCAAATTTATGGGAGGTCCTATTTCTTGGTGTTCCAAGAAGAAACATTTTGTTGTGTTGTCAACCTGTGAAGCTGAATATATTGCAGGCGCTCTGACTGAATACCAAGCTGTGTGGATTCTGAACTTGCTATAAGATCTGAAGATTGAGGTAAATAAACCTCTGAAGCTGATGAGTGATAACAAGTCTGCAATCAGTCTTGCTAAGAACCCAGTGTTTCATGGGAGAAGCAAGCACATTGAGACCAAGTATCACTTTCTGAGGAATCAGGTTCAGAATGGAATATTAGAAGTTGTGCACTGTAGCACCTAGAAGCAGCTGGCAGATGTTCTAACAAAGACTATCAAGACTGATCAATTTCTTAGTTTGAGGGATGAAATTGGTGTTGTCAGTTTTGGATAAATATAAATTAAGGAATGGTGTTAGAATTAATTTATATTTTAGGAATATCTTTTTTTAAGATATTAATATATTAATTTATATTTTAGGAATATCCTTTTAGATCTTTTTATATCTTTGTTAGAGGATATTTAGGATTTTATTATACCCTAATTTTGTGTATAAATAGCCTAGAGAGGTAGGTCAATGTAATTTATTGTAAATCATTATTCCTTATTTTTGTAGCCGTCATTAAATATACTTCTTTTTCCTTTCATCTCTTCTTTGTGCACCAACAGTTGAGAAGTTAGTTATATTTTGTGTAACTAACCTTCACTCACTTTAGCGATATACCCATATAGTTAATTGTATCAGAAAACATCAATAATCAGTATACCAATAGCTCTTGCATTATTTACTCTCTCACTCCAATTTTCTCTTATTACTATATTCTTATCATTTTCATGAAATCCTCTTCAATCACATGTTCATTATCATTATCATGATCAAAGATCATTCCTCAACATGGTATCAATTCCCATAGGGGATCAGATTTTCTGATGCATTTCAATCTTCAACTATACTCCACTGCAACCATTGTAGAAGCTTCCATAGATTGTAGGATCATATCTTCATATAAGCTAGCGTGTAGAGTAGTTTC